CCACGTGAGGAGCAATTGGAGGAAATGGGGCTGTTTGTGAACAAGACCGAATTTGAAAGGGGGACACGGTATCAGTCCTGTAGAAGAGATAATAGAACGACTGTCCAGAGGCTGTACAAGAGATCAAACAGAGGCTGATTTGGGCTTGATCTAGGAGAAGCACACAAATGAAAAGAATTATCCACTACAAGGATTGGAGTTGCCCAAGGACATTAGGAAGCAGAGGCTGAATGGCCACAGATCAGGGAACCACAGAATGCCTCCTATGGGGACCACCGTAACATATAGGCTAAGAACAACTGTCACGTAATATTCAAGTGGCTTCTGTAGGCATGGCCCTTTTGCGAACCGTATAGAGCGGGACTTCTACCTGAAGTATCCATCTTTTATTTAAATGTACACTTTGTCATAACTTTTATGGGTCTTATAAATTACACTTAAGGATGGAATTTGGGAAGAGGACCTGATGCCATTAAAGACGGTCATTTAAACTATAGATCTGGGGGCGCCTGGGTGGCTCAGTGGTTAAGTGTCTGCTTTCTCTCAGGTCATGATATTGAGCCCCACATCGGGCTCCCTGCTCAGCAGGAAGCCTGCTTCTCCTTCTCCCACTCCCCCTGCTTGTGTTCCCTCTCTCACTAGGTCTCTCTCTGTCAAATAAATAAATAAAATCTTTTAAAAATTTTTTAAAAAAATAAACTATAGATCTGATCATGCTTAAACCCGTCAGTGGATTCTCAGTGTTCTTAAGATATAAACTATAATCCCCGTGGCGGCCCTCAAGGCCCTGCCCTGTCTGTCAGCAGCGTACTTTGGGCCCCTGTCCATCTCTTGCTGTGCGGTCTCCACACACTTGTCTTTGTACCTCCACCTGCTTAATCCTGCTCATCCTTTGCAGTCCGCTCAAACCTTTCTTCCTCAAGGCCATCTTTCCCAATCTCCCAAGCTCCGGCTCCCTTCTGCAGGGGCCCCTGCACCCTGCACTTCTTCCTCCTTGGCTGCTATTTTCATAATTATAATCAGTCGTGGGATTGAATTGGCTGTGAACGTGAGCTCTGTGGGGGCAGGGCCCTTCTTGCCTTGTCCACAGCTCTTTCCCTAGCACCTAGTCGTGCTTGGCAAGAAAGACGTCTGTTGAGATGAGTAAATGAACGAAAAAATACAAAATTCATAGAGTAGAAGCTGGATATGGCCACTTTCAACTCCAGGATTCTCCATTTCAATGAGTCTCACTTTAGGGATACAGAAACGTAGACTTCATCATTAGTCGTTGCTTCCTTTGCTTTCATCCTTCATCCAATAAGACCTTAAATCCTGTTGACTATGATTGAAAAATGTCTCTTGGATGGCTTCTTCTTCTCCACCCTATGGGAGCTTCCTGTTTCTGCTCTCACCTTCTCCACCTGCCCTGAGGACCACTCTCGATTTGTCTGTTTGACTCCAGCTGGGCTCAGGATCGTCTCCTGTGGAGCCTACTGAAAATATGCCCCCAGAGATCTGATCAGTGGGTCTGGAGTGGGGTTTGGGTATGTGTGCCTTTTGCACAGCTCCCAGCTGAGTCTAATGTGCTCACTGTTGTAAGCAGTGACCTGCTTTTATCATGCCCCTTGACCCTGCCCAAACACATGCCAGGATTCCCTGTTGCTGTCTCCAGCACTGACTTTTATACTTTTCAGTCGAGTGGGACTCTAGGGTCTGGATCTTTTACCCAAAGTAGTCTTCTGAAATGTCTCATTTTATCTTTAAAAAAGCCAAGCCATTTTTTTCTGTTGTAGTCTATAATATATCTGAACACATTCTCCCCCTGCCCCGTCCAGCCCAACAAGAAAAATCTTTGCCCAGTGGACCTCTAGAGATGCCAGTGTTCATCTTGGGGCTTCTCCTTCCCTACCCCGTCCTGCCCTCTGCTGTGAGCTCCCAGGGTGTGTGAACTCTAGCCTGAGAAGACCGATCTCCCAGAAATGTCCCAGCACACAGTGCTAGAGTGGACATGGGTCTGGCCATGGAAGCAGGATCCCACAGCCTAGCCCTGGCTCAGCCACTCGCTCTGCAACATGAGAACATACATTTTTATAACACATCTAACTTTTAGAAACATTTCCACATTTACTGGTTGTGTCCGTTGGAGCATAATGTTGGGATGGTGAGCACTGTGAAGGCTTCATTCAGAGCCCGTGCAGCCTCTGGTAATTATACCCACTCTCACTCCACAGTCATACACTCGGGGGTTGCTATGGGCAAGAAGGAACCTGCATCATAGGGATATTCAGACAGAGAATTGACCACTAAAATCCTTTCTCTCTGAACCCTTCCAGCCTGAGTTTCTCTTCTGTGGTTTCTCTCAACTCTGGCAAAAGCCCTGTGAAGTGGACAGCTGAGACATCTCCCCATTGGACGGATGCAAAAACTTGAGTCTCAGAGAGATGTCTCTGCTGTTCCCTCTCCCGGAAAGAGACCAGCTCAGCATCACCCTGCTGTGTAAACATCCCTGCCACATCCCCCTTCTACCTCCTTTCTGACTTGGGGTGACCACCACCCTCCTCAGTCTTGGCCTTTAGAAGATTTTATTGCACTAACTGAAATACCCCTTCTATGTATCTGTGAGTCCCATGGTCTGAGACAGTCTTGTCTTCTCATGCCCAGTGTCTCACACATAGCAGATGTTCAATAAGAAGAGCCCACTGAGTGCTCGCCGGGAGTCAGGGAGTCTACATCTGTACACGGGGTCCTCTAATGCTCGCACGACCATGAGCTGGATGCATTTTGGCCTTCCTGTACGTAAAATATGCCATTTGTTTCATTGGGGAAAAATTCCATCCAAAACTGCTGCCTACAGCTATGAGTTAATAGTGTCTGTCTGTACCATGTGTAGCTAGGGCATGTATGTGAATTATAAAAATATGACTATCATTTTGTATTAAAAGTTTATGACAGGGGCAGCTGGGTGGCTCATTCGGTTAAGCGTCTGCCTTCGGCTCAGATCATGATCTCAGGGTCTTGGGATCGAGCCCCGCGTTGGGCTCCCTGCTGAACAGGGAGCCTGCTTCTCTCTCTCTTCTTCTGCTGCTCCCCCTGCTTGTGACTCTCTCTGTCAAATAAATAAATAAAATCTTAAAAAAAAAAAAAGTTTATGGCAAAATCTAGTTCTGCAGTAGGCCATTAAGTATGTTCCCTGTGAAGGAATGTGGCTCATGTCAGTGTGTGAATGCCTAGCCAATTTTAGATATATTTGTGATACTTATCTTTTTTGAGCACTGCCATCTCACCTCCCAAGGGAATTCACTAAGAATGTTTATTGTGACTTTGCCCTCTGTTGGATTTTAAAGTTAGTTCCTGTAATTTACTTTCACTAGATAACTAAGAGTTTGTTGTACATATTTTTAAAGTATCCCCATTTTACAGATGAAGAAACTGAGGCTTAGAAAGGTCCATCTATTTACGCAGCCCTGCCCACCTCCAAACCTCAGTTTTTCACTGAATGCTGGAGGGTCATCCCCAAGTCAGTTATACGAAGGACTTGCTTGATAAGCTACAAGGATGTACTAGGTCCAGATTTCAAGGTGGGGACAGAGAGGGTGTGGGGAAGCAGGGGAGGGAAAGGGGACACCCTCCATCAGTGAGTGATATGGCCAGGCAGCTGGCATGAAGTTTTCTCTCTTACCGTTTCCACTCCTCCTGCCGTAGCCCTCACAGTTCTGGTGTTTCGGATTCAAGAAGCGCTCATCCTCCCAGAACTAAGAAAGAGGACCCAGGCAGGGCTTGTCCTCCATCTAAAATTCCATCTGGGGAATCCCAGCGTCTCCCCAAGTGAGGGCGGAGGCACAGAGCCGGCTGGGCATGATTCTTCTCCCGGGGAACAGCTGTCAGGCCTTGGCAGGGGCAGAATGTGGCACCACATTGCAGTCATTCCAGCTCCGGGGGATTTAGCGACAGCATGTCCTGCAGGAGGCAAGCTCAGGGGCTTTTTATAGCCCTCTAAGAACCTCGGGGAAAACTGATCTCTTGGGAGAGAGAAGTGGGGCACGTGTCTTTTCCAGGCACCGTTCCCTCAAGCGTGTAGTCCCAGCTGCCCGCAGTTCAAATCAGGCTTTGCGTCACGGCTAAGTGGGCAGTGTGGAGCCGTGGAAGCATATCTGCTGTGTGGGGGACAGGGAGCCCAACCAAACCCAGTTCCTAGAACCCCCTCCGTAGCCTTCAGTTCCTTCACCTGTCTGGTCGAAGTATTATAAGGCAGGGATCTGCACACCTCGGCCTGCGGACTCTGCAGCCACCACCAGCTTTTGTAAATAAAGTTTTTTTGGAACACAGACACACCCATTCCTTATGTATTGTCTGTGGCTTTCTCACTGCCAGAGCAGAGTTGAGTAGTTGTAACAGAGGCCATAGGTGGTCGGCAAAGTCTAAAATACGTACTATTTGGTCCTTTATAGAAAAAGTGTGCCAGCCCTTGGATTAGACTATGGAGAGTTTGGGACTATCTACCTAGAGCACTGTGGGAAGAAAGATTGTGAGAGTGTCCAGACTAAGAAAGGTAGCTCTATCCTTTAGACCATACAAGAGTATGTATTCACGAGTAGTATTGGAAGGACCCCAGAATGCCATTTACTCATGTTTTTCAAACTACTTTTAGTCCCAGAACCCTTTTGCAAACAAAATCTTAAGCAATAGAGCTGCTCAGAGTGAAGTGGGAATGAGAACACGCTACAGTCCATTCCATCCCTCCTATGCCCAAGGCAGCCCCTAAGGAAGCTACACAGTTCCCATAACCCCATTAGAAGAGCATTTGAAAACCACCTAGCTAATCCTATGACTCTTGTTTTACAACTGGGGAAACTGAGGTTCAAGGGGCAGCGTCTTGTCTAGGGCCATACGATGGACTCCCAGTTGGCTTTCCATGGAGCTACTGACATGGTCGTGAGGTATCTGCAGAGCTTAGACATAATCTCTGCTGGGGAGAAGACGTCCATTGGCTTCGGGGGCCTCAGAACTGCCATAAGTACATGGGTGACTATGACATGCCCACGCTGACCCCGCAGCCCCCAGGGTTGGCCGAGATACCTGCCGATACCCGCCATGCTTCACAGTAGTTAAGCAAGGCTTGGGAGCTGTTCTTTTTTTCCTGAGAACAACAGAGACAAAAAAATAAAATGAAAATTGAATTGGACCATATTTAAAAAAAAATTTAATTGATACCGAGACACATTTTCAAAAAAATAGAACATGTCTCACAACTGATCTATCAATTAGATCATTTTTCTGTTTTTCCCCCCAAAAGCTGTTATTAGGCAGATAAGACATCTTTAAATCAATGCCATCTTAGAATGGAGAAATTATGATAATTTATGCTGCAGCTTTCTTTTGAAGATGGAATCAGATTTATTCATTTGTAGAATAAATATTTATTCTTCCTGCCCATTCTTGTTGAAGGGTTTGCTGAGAGCAGATGCAGCTGATATGAAACCATGGGCGATTTTTTTTTAGCTCCACTTGAACCCAGAAGAAAACTGATCTAGGAGCGTGCTGGGCAGCCAAAGAGACCGATCGTGTTTCCTCACAGCCAGCCGGCAACCAGGTGCAGCTCTGAGGGGTGACGGGGGGGAAGCTCAGCGTCCCTGCACCCGAGTCTCCTAGCGAGGCACCCATGCCTGTGACATGAGGTCATATCTGCTCTGTGTCCCTCAGAGAATACATTAAAAGGACCAGAGGGTTCAAGGGACATTTTCTAGCCAGGAACCTCAGAAATACCGGGGAGGCAGCATCTAGGTAGAGAAAACGCCAGAGTGAAAAGAAGAAAGTCCCAGAAGTGTGCTCAGTGTGCAATGGGGTGGGCGTGCCTACAGCCCAGAGAAGCAGGTAGAGGTCGTCCTTCGATAGAGTAAGGCTTTCTCCTCCAGGTCCCCAGCGGGGCGTGTCCCAGTCCCTGAGAAGCTGGTTGCTGGGATTTGTAACTAATAATAGAGGCAGCATGATGCGGGAGCTCCGTGCGCTGGTCAGGTTGCCCCAGGTTTGAATCCTAGCTCTACTCATCCACTTAATCCCCCAAGTCTCGGTTTCTTCAACTAAAAACAGAGATCACAATCTCCTGTCTCCCTACAGGGATCACTGGATTCATGCAAGGAAAGCACCCAGCACATAGGAAGCATTCAGTTAAAAAAAAACAAAAACCCTAATACTTAAAATACAGGTTTGTAAATGATCGCCTCTCTTAGTGAATTAGAATGGAATCCAAGTTCCCTTTGTGCTGCTTTCCCTCTGGCTTCTGGCTTCTGGGCTGCCCATCGTGGGAAGGGATGGAATGACAGAAGAATTGGTGATAAGCCACAGGGAGCGCATATAAAGGTCTTTCGTCATCCATGTCACAGAGAAAACTGGTGTCGGGGCCCTGGGGAGCTATCGACTGGCCAGGTGTGAACAGGAGGGGGTTCTCGTAAGTGTTGCCATTGGGGGAAATTGTTAGAGAGAGCAGTGAGCTCGTGTGACAGTGGGAAGGGAGAGACTGGAAGGAGGTGACCAGTTAGGAGGTGCACGCGAGCAGCAGACTGGATAACATTAACTCACCTCCGTGTTTCGGTTAAGAACAGAGAAACAAAACTTCAGAGTCTATCCATTTTCAGATAGAGTTAATTGTTGGTTTAATGTGGAAGCAGAGGAGACGTTTATCTGGAGCTCTCCGCAATTCAAGACCCCCATCCCCAGGACCTTCTGCCATCACTTTCTTGGAGCCTCGCCCCAGCCCCCGGGGCAGGAATCAGCCCGAGGGTCTCACAGAGCCTGCCCCAGGATGGCTGGGCTCCCTGTGGACTGGAGTCCTGGACACCTGGCCGGCACCCAATCCAGAGTTGGCAATGGGAGATTTCTGCAGGCAGGGGAGAGAAAGAAGGGAGGGAGGGAGGGAGAAGGGGCTTCCCACCTGGGCCGTAGTCAAGGAGGGCATTGTGGGCCTGACCTTTAGCCCCCCACCCAGAATGACTAGGCTGACCTCCCTTTCTCACCAGAATCTCTGAGGGGAGTACTCTCATAATCTTTGTGTCACAAGATGACAAAACTAAGGTGACGTCCCCTACATGGGGTCTCTAGGCTAGGGAAGGCAAATCCCAGGTTTGACTCTGGGTGTTTCTCACCCCACTTGCCCAGTGTCTCACTTCCCCACTATACTGACTCTCTCCCCACCTCCCTGCCAAAGGGCTGTCCCACTGGGGCTCAGCCCCTCTTGGAAGAGATATCTGCCTCTCTTCTTAGTTCGGATTTCTGTAAGTTCGTGTGGTCTTGAGCTACCACCCACTGATCCAGGCCTACCCTCCAGTGCCCCCAGTACCCCAGGGGACAAAGTTGCTCCCCCCTTCCTCCCCCCCACCCCCGCTATGAGCTCCTCTTCTCTTGGAGACAGTTGTCCTAGGTAGGATTTACAGACTTCTGCCTAGTCTGTGGTCCTTCTCTGAGTTCTAGGTTGTCAGTTAATCTGTCCCCAGTGCACCTGCTGTGTACCCATTACTGTGCTGGGCACTGGGCAACAGGGGCAGACACTAAATCAGGCACCATCTCTACCCTCATGGTTCACAGTTTAATGAAGAAGGATATTGAACAAGTGATCTGCTCTGGAGGGTGTAACAGGATGACCTCACCTGTCCAGGAAAGCAGGACAGCCCTCCTGGAGGAAGTGGCATCTCAACAAACCCTCAAAGGATGAGTGGGCACTATCTGGGGAGTATGAGAGATTTTAAATAACAATGAGTCAACTTGGTATGCATCAGGAATTGTTCTAAGACTGTACAATACTCCACTGGGTCCACACAACAACCTGTAAGGGGTGGGTATTACCATTATCCCCATTTTGCAGATGAGGATACACAGAGAAGTTAGGTAACTTGCCCAAGGTCACACAGTCAGTATTTGGCAGCAGAGAACAAGCCATGCAGAGGAAATACCATGAACAAAGAGCACTCGGTGTGTGTGTGGGGGAGGGGGGCATCTCAGATAGTGAAAATAGGTAAGAAATAGTAAAAAGCAACTTTAAAAAAAAAAAAACATTGAACATAACAAAGATAAATACAGAGTATGTTCCTAATAGTGCAACCTGAGGCATCTACTGATGATTTTCTGGTTCTTTTATCACACTGAGGTTTCTGTGGGCTCACTGTCAACCTAATCCTTTGCCTTCTGAATGGGAATGCTGTTCTTCAGTCTCCTCTCTTGAATCCTACAGAGGTTCTGTTGCTCGTTTGGGGAGAAGGAGGAACAGGTAGCATATATACTAATAATCACAATTTACTGATTTATAAAACTTCAGTGCTCTCACTTTTCCCAGACTTTGTGAGATTTGAGTCTCACGAGAGGCCTGAGAGGTAGGCAGGACAGCCGTCCATCACTCCACCTTAATGTTACAGAAATTGAGGCTCAGAGACACGGAGCAACTAGTCCAAGGTCACACAGCCAGTAAGTGTGGAGCTGGGGCTTGAGCCCTGAGCTTTTGGTTCTAGATCCTGTGTTTTTCCCTCTACACCAAAACACAGTGGAGAGTGGGAAGCCGGAACGTTTCAAACCTGGCACTTGGGACCTCCAGAAAGTTCGTTAGCCTCTCTAGGCCTCAGTTTCCTGTCAGTAGAACCGGGATAAGAAGAGCTCCTACAGGGCTCCTGCAAAGATTAAATGAAGTAATAGGCACAGAGTGGTGGCCACAGAGAATATTCCAGTAATGGAATAACATACAGCACTATGAATGAACACAATGCCAGACAACAATATGGGTAGATCTTAGCAGGATAATAGTAAAGAAAAAGTCACAAAGGATTACCTACAGCATTATATACCCTTTTAATAAAGTTAGAAACAACTACAGATTTTTAAAAAGTTTCTGTGGCTATGTGTAGTTGCAATAGCACTATATATAAGGGAAAGCAAGGATGTGACAAATACAGCATTCAGGATGGCCGTGAGGCTAGGTGTCGGAGGCAAGAAGCCTGGGATCGTAGTTAGAGGTAAGATATCGTCTGAACCCCGGCTTTTGCTTTGAATGGTAGATTTGTGGGTCCTTACTACATTAGCAAAAATAACTGATTCTATAAATAACTAAGTAAATAAAAGTGGAGCATGCTTGAACCAGTGAAGACAGTGTCTCATGAAGCAAGGGTCAGGATTACCTCAATTCTTATCCACCTGAAGTTCTATTTATTTATTTTTTAAAGATTTTATTTATTTTAGAGGGGCAGGGGAGCATGCGTGAATAGGGGAAGAGACAGAGGGAGAGGATCTTCAAGCAGACTCCCTACCGAGCCTGAAGCCTAGAGCCTGATGGTGAGCTCGATTCAGGGCTTGATCCCACAACCCATGAGATCATGCCCCGAGCAGAAACCGAGGGTCGGATGCCTGACTGAGCCACCCAGGCACCCCCTGAAGTTCTATTTATAAAAAGAAATGAAAGTGTCAGGCACGGTGCCCAGCTTGTGGGAAGCAGTCAATAAATGCTCACTGTCATGCTTGGATATCTTTATTATTATCTGCATTTTCTGCCCACCCCAGCCAGATGTCCTTAGTGTCTGCCCTAGGCTAACTGGTGGGATGGGTCCTCAAACTCAAACTTCTCAGAAGCAGAAAGCCCCGTCCCATCTAGGCCTCAGGCCAGGTACCCCATCCTGTGAATGGACATCAGTGGGAAAAGTCCTGAGGGGCTCACTGCTGGTTCCAGCAAGCTTTGGGGGTAGAGCACCCCCACCCCCGTTAGAAGAAGAAGGCCAGAAGCTATTACAATGCAGCAATTGGAAGCTTAGGCTCTAGAGTTAGGTCTGGGTTTGGATCTGGGTTCTGCTGGTGTGTGCCTCTAGGCAAATGACCCAGCATCCCTGAGCCTCACTTGGTTCATGTGTGAAAACAGTATCTACTTCACAGGGTCATTATGAGAATTAAGCGAGGTCATCTAGACAAAATGCTTAGCACAACATCTGGAACATCACTTAAGAGCTTAAAAATACTACCTGCTTTTATCATTGGGTATCCCAGGCCACTCCCAGGATGGCTTCTGCCCCCCTCTGATGAAGGAGATGGTGCAGACTGCCTCGGACAGCAGCCGCTGCCATCTTGTGCGGGGCGGGGTGGGGCGGGGCGGGGGGGTGAGCATGTGTGGGTCACAGTTTTCCACTTCCTCCTGAACCCTTTCCTTTGTGAGCTAAACAGGGAGGAATCTGCAGACAAAGGAACAATTCTGGGAGAGCCCAGTCCCACAGCCAAAAGCTATTTCCTCGGAAGTCAGTGGCTTGCCCCACCCCCTCCTGTCTGGAAATGGCTTCCCTGGTGGCCCAGGGCTGGGGCACCAGGTGCCCAGAGCGAGAGCTGTGCTGGTGGATGGCGGGGCCTGGGCAGAGCTGCTGCTAGAAAGGCCATTTAAGATGTGGGGCTTCCCTGAGCCACCCTGGCCTGACTCCTACCAAGAGAGTCCCATAAAAGGCCCCCATGACCTGCTTCCCAACTGACCTGTGACCTCCCTGTCTTCCTGAAATAACAGATCAGAGAAGCGTGCTACCCTAACATCCTTAATAATGATCCACGGTTTACAAACCCTTCCCCTCCTCACATGAACCG